CAGGCAACGGCGGGCTCCTTGCCAAACAACCAGCATCACTAGACAGTTAAACAAATCACCCTCAAGATCTGTGCTTCTGATTATAAATAAATTACAATTATCTAATATCGTTAGCACTTCTATCGGCTTTTTGCAGCATTCCCAAACTCTTTTCAGAAAGCAATTGTACTCACTAATCCGTTCGAAAAGTCATGTACCCTTACACGCTATAAAATATGTATTTAAATTATTCTATACATTTTGTTAACCAAAGGGCGTAGACCCGTAATTCAATTATTATTAAATTATACTTTGTTAATTATACAGATTAGAGATTAATTACACAGCATTTTATTGATAATATGAAATCGAAAAATCGTGTTGCCATACAGAGTTTTTGAAATATCTATAATCTATATTAATAACTAGTGAAATAATCCGTACTATGATTAAATGAGACCATATTCTTAGAAATGATGTATTTATTTCACCAGTGACATAGACTTAACCCCTAAACTTCTAAACTATCGTAAAACTTAATACCTCGAATTTGCAATTCTTACACATCGGTCCGTTGTAGACGATGTTGTCAACATGTGTGCAAGTTGTGCTGAATAATTACTGTCTTCATTTTTCATGATTTTCAACTCTGACTATCGTAAATACTTGTAGCGTAAGTTTCTAACTCAATGAATGTAATATTTTTCTAAAATACTATGTGTTTTTTTCCAGTAGTGATTTTTACAAATGATTAGTAGTAACGTAAGTCGCAAGATAATATAACACTAGAACTACCAAGCAAGTCAAAATGACTTGTCAATACATTTTTACAACGACGATTAAAATGTTATGACAATACATTTTCTCAGATCTTTTGCACCTTTTATTACGATATCAAAGTGAAGAAATTAGTCAATTTCTAAATTTTCAAAAGTTTTTCACGTTTATCCACCGATCGATGCAAATATGCGTTTATCGTTGGTAGTTCTAGTGTTGATAATCCAGGGTTAAAGCAGGATTTGTCAGATACGTGCGCTGCGTTTAAACGAATTGCAATCTGCTAGATGTGTCTGTTTCTCATTTCATTCCATTGTTTTCGACGCGTAACGTCTATGGTCTTTTCTATGTCTATTTGTCGTAAATTCAAATTATTCTACGAACTTTTGTGGTTGCTGGCCGACCCCCGAACGATATCACGAGATTTGCAAATCCCCTTGTAACTAACAGAAAGTACGTAACGTAATCGATGAACTTGCCGCAAGATGTCATTCTCTCAAAATCCGTTCGCATTTAATCACACGTCTCTCTTACGCTTGGTAAATATTGCACAATTCGTTGGAATTTTAACGAAATTTCTACGATATTTATTTTTCTGTCAGTGGAATACCCTCCTCGAATTATTGTTTTCAAGCCAAGCAATTTGATAGATGCTAGCGCATGCATTCCATTGCGCCCGACGTGTCATTTACCATGATTAATTTACTGAACAATATGTATGTGATGAAAATGCCACGCGGATTAAAATACTTCCCCGTTATATTTATAATTTCGTTATGTACTTAGACGTTCAGGAATATTACGTGGTGATATTTGCTGAGTGTAAACAATCTTATGATAAAATAATAAAAAGTGCCTCGAACTGTGTACAGATCGGATTACGAGTTTAAGAACAACTGTGGGTAACTTCTCCACAAATGCAATTACCAACAAATGGCAAAGATGTTCAGTACGCGAATTACTTTATCATCCTTTTGCAACAATATCTTACTTATTGCAGATTCTTAAACGGTCGAGGAATTCCTTACTGTAGATTGGTAACATGTATTTGCGTTATCTTTAATCGTGATAAAGTTTACAAAAGAAGGTAATATTGTAAATTCATCAAGCAACACCTACTTTTATATCTTTAGTATGATCATGTGCGTATGTAAATATGATTACATAATTTCTTGCCTTGTTGATAGAAAAAGTGATGTTTGTTATGAAATTTGCATTATCATGCGTCAATTTCATTTTACGCGTGCAGTGAAAATGCAAACCATCATGACGAATCTATTTTAAGATCGAAACAGTGCATAGACGTGTTACCACAGATACGTAAGATAGCATTGACGTTGTGTATCTCGTTGTTAGCGAATATTTTCCATTTCTGGAAAACAGTTTTATTCATGAAACCTTTATAATTGCTCAAATATGTTCCGTACGTAAATTTCTGTACTTTAAACTTTCATTTCATTCTCACTTGCTCTTGAGACCAGTGGAAATATCACGTGACCAAAACTCGAAACATTTCTGCCGTCAAATTCAAATCATTCTGATCGTTAAAATACCATATCGTGCCATTGGATTGACTCATAAATAATGTCCACTGCAGGAATTATGGAATTATGAAACAGTTAAGTAACAACTACAGAACCAGTATTTACGCAAATTAAATAGTTGCTAAGTATATATCGTCTAATATCGTATTATAACAACACTTTTATAATTTGATTTATGCACACCCTCATGACACATGAAAAGCAATCTTTCGTATTAAAGTCTAATAATACGTATGTAATATATACTACGTGATTCATCGTTTAATATAAATACTAAAAATGCTGTACATCGTTTACCTTGCAAACGTCAAACACACGCGATGGCGTCTTGAATATTCCACGCGGTTCCAAAATGAAACAATCAAACCGTCAGTCGGTATTATCACACATCACAAATCCTTTTTCCAATTGGTTCACCACTGTACTTCACAATTTCGTACACTGTACATACATTTCAGACAGAGTTGCGTATTGATAACAGCGCGAGTACTAAACAAAAATTTTGCTCAGGTGAAAACGCGAAAGTCTGACACAATATTGAACACAAATGGTGCACGATAAACTGCGAGTGAAATCGTGAAGTATTTACGCGTATTTGTGACGTCTTAAAGAACGATACGGCGAATAGAAGAATTAACGGGCGTTCTCGCGAAAACACGGCCGATTAACATCGAGTTTGACGCGGGCGACCAGCACCACTCGAGCTACCATTGAATACTGCTAAACAGTAACAATCACGCGCATGCGTTCCAACTTCCTCGATGTCTATATTCTTTGAGAAATGTAAACCTTGCGCCATCGGAATGCACCGTAAGTCAGATTTGGATAAAGTTTATTTTAAATAACTCTAATGAAGAATAGAGGTTTGATGCTTTAATAGCATAGAGTCATACAGTTATTACTGTTAAAGGTACTAGCTTCTTCAGAACACTCTAACTGACTCTACATATTAGCGTGCAATGACACAACTTGAAAATCTGCACTGTAGAATTTATGTATGAGTAATTACATAGTAACGATTTTATTCGGAAAAACTGATTCGTTAAAGCGCTGTCGCCTTACATCTAAGGGTAAGAAACTAAGCACCATGAAATCAGAACTGGAGCTTCTCAAAACAAGGGCTCCGTTTTTAAAGGAGTAACTGTTTATATTTGATTGTATAGGCGAGAGCTCGAATGGTACAGCAGTTGTATTCATCCATTTTTATTCTATGTTCTCTACTTTAGGTTCTGCATTTATGAATGAAATTATTTACGAGGAACTGCAATGCTGAAATATACTTGCACGAAATTTATATTCGAAACTTAGATGTCAGTAATGTCTGTAAAAAGGAACTGACCGTTAAATCAGATGGTTTCTTTTGTAACGTTCAATGACAGTTGCGTAAATCTTGTATTTTTTGTTATTACTACAGCTTACGCGCATTCGTACATGCAATATTCAATTACATGTAGTGTTATTGCTTAATATGTTATTTTCTGATAATAGGGAGATATGTACAATGCCGACACGCGTTGGTGATTAAATACGAATATAATCTTAGTGAACAAATTCGAAAAGATTGTCCTTGAAATGATTATTTATTGATCGTTCGATGTTTAATGTTCAACAAAATGAAGTTCATTGCAACTGTATTATAAAGTGTTCCGAGTGGTAATGTGCTCGAAAATGATATCGGTACGTGAAGTCTTTATTTGCAAGAAAAATACGTATTTCACAATAATGTCCAAAAATTTGCTAACAATCAGGTATTATTGGATAAGTATATAAAAACTAACGATTATTAATACTATACCAGTCCCACGATAGCTCTTAATCCAAAATCGACGACGTATCTTTCTATAATAAAACAGTGAATACTTCTGTGCATGTCGCGACATAAAATCGAAGTAACAAAGACAACGTGTACGTGCAATTGTTGCATTGTTTGCTTGCATTTGCATGATCGGTTACAATGTCATAGACGGATATAAAAGAATGTTATGTACAATATCTGTGGAAAATAAAAACACATTAAATTATATCGTAAAATGGATTATAGTCTCGCTTATATTTAAATGGATGAAACGTATTCTATAAGATAAATTATTAAATATTGGTAAGAATCGAAATGACAATTAGCTATAATCTCACGATGCGCGTAAGTACGAATCACCTAAATCACCGAACATGTACAATCAGGTAAAAAGTTTTTAGCAAAGTTTTAAAACTCGAATGAGCAGTTCTCATATTTTTTCAGTTGTCATGTAATTATTGTAACCCGTGAAATTCACGATAACTATGAAATAGTTAATTAAAGAAAAGCTAGTACGTTACAGCCTCTCTCTCTCTCTATATATATATATATATAAATCGATGAATTTGTTCCTTTGCCAAGTTGTTTCCAACTGAATTATTGTAATCAAATCGCGTATTTAGGAAAAACTTCGGTAAACGCTCGTCAGGACATAAAAGAACATCTTACCGAAGTAGTCATGTATCAAAATGTACTAAATACCGTCTTAAAATTAAATAGTACGATAATAAATATAAATATCTTGTTTAAAAAAGCGACCATAATCTTTAAACCTAGAATCTTACAATAAGTATGCTACCTTAATGAATAAGGTTTAATATTTACATAGCAATGTACACCTATTAGATGACTTTTATACAAAAATGAATAAAATGACGTGATGTTTAGCTTATTTTAGTGGCGGATCGTTTTACTACTTAGTGCATCATCTTGTGAAGCTTCAAAATTTTTCCCAACCGTTGTTTCGCTGTTTTCATTCCTTTCTTTGGTTTTCGTTCTGGAAATTCGACGTCATTACATTTTGCAAATGTATGTATATAAAACAGCACTAAACACAGAGTACTTGAATGATACGTTACCGACTGGAACCGGGGCTGCCAGTTTTGCTTTAACATCTTTTAGCCTGTTAGGGCTAGTTAATATCGAGCCAAATCCAATATTTGTTTTGATAGAGTCTTCCGAAGATGTAGTAGATGTCCCACCTGTCGAACTCACAGGCGACTGTTTTGACTTTTTCTTATTGTATGCCCGTTTCGTTGTATTCTATTACGTTATACAAAACAATAATGGGTTAGGTTCATGTCTGTCAACAGCCATAACAAATATTGTTTATCAATAGCACTAATGAGAGGAGCAGTACTGATTATGTAACATCAATTGTAAAACGTAGATAAGACGTGAAATCGCAATAAAGGAAATGAGACTAATCGTATGTTTAGAATGCATGAGAGAGAAAAAACGAGGAAAAGCGATGTATGTGCAAATGAAGCGTAAAGCTTTAATATATGCCTACCAATTTTTTCGGCGAGCCCTTATCCATGTTGTTATCCAGATAATCATCCTACGCAATACGAGTGTGCAAGAATGAAAGAATCATGGAAATTAGGATGCAATTGGATATAAATGAGTTAATCTGTGGTCTTGAAGAGCTGGGCCTACATTATTTACATGTAACATGAACTCTAATTTATATGCACATGATTTGGATAATACTGAGCTGTCAAATCTGCTTGTATTCTGATCAATGACAATGATTGAGTTATTGACATAATTGGCACGAGTAATGCAAAAAAAAAAAACAAAAAAGAATCAAAGGACAGATAATCGGTTTACGTACCGATTGTTTAGCTCGTTTCGCCGCCGCGGCCTCCAGACCTTTCTCGACCGATGTTTTCTTTACACCCTCCCGAGCTGGCCGATTCGTTTTCGGTAACAAGGGTCCTACTCTTGCTTTTGGATTCCACGCTTCGTCTATTTGACTTTTCGACTTAGATTTAAAAATATAATCCTCGTCGTCCGAGGCGTCTAGAGCTGGATAAACTATACCAAAAAGTATGCGATAATAATTAGTAGCACAATATACTGCTGGCTCGTCTACTGCTATTATATTCACTTAAAAAGTCTAAGAATAGTCCCATTATCTCTTTACATACTAAAATCGTCGTCCTGATGAACTTTGTCGATGTTTTCTATCGACTGATCGTCGTCGTCGTCGTCGTCTTCTGGCTGTGCTTTCGTATTTTTCGTGGACTTCGAGGTACTGTTCGATGTAGTCGAATAACATTGCTCGCTGAACGACAGCATCCCAGCGATCGCTTCCCGGGTCGATGGAGATGCCCTGCCAGAACTGGTCGTTTTCAATTTATAAATACTAAGACACCAAAAACATAAAGTGCAACAAGAGTGCTATGTTAACAAAAATTACTCTAATCTCTACTACAATAACAAACTACAAGAGAAACAACTAATTACAGGAGCAAGACAATACTGAGCATGCTTTGACAGCCTATATCTTGTACTAAAGTACTACTCTGTAAGGTAATCTTACCCCGTGGGAGGTGGCATTGGTTGACTGTATTGTGGAATCACCGTGGACCTAGAAGAGGTCAGAATTATACACAAACTACTTCGTAATTTTAACCTGTTTACCGATCAATACACGTACGTTACATCCAACCTTTGAGCACCATTCCCTAAGGTGTAAGCTGAGGCTTTCAATAATTCTTCAATACCATTTTTTGGTACATCACTTAAGATGTCGACGTCACCGTCATAATCGCGTTTCAATCGCTTCTGCGTGCTATTCCTTGGTGCTCTCTTCCGTTTCGGAGATTCGTCCACCGTTAACCGGCCGTAATCACTCTCGTTGCTACCGTCATGAAAATCATATATAGAGGTCTGTTTCCATGTTAAGTCTTTCGACGTTTCAAGTGGCCGATCCGTAGGTAAATTGTTATGTACATTAATGCTGTCGTGTGTACTCCTTACGACTTCGTTATTACCAAGTTTAAATCTAATCACAGTCGGGCTCTGCTTCCCCGGTTTTGATGCTCGTTTACTAGTGGGAGAAGCGACGTTCTTCTCTTCTAACGATTGACCCTGAGTTTTCACGTATGGATACATGATAGGCTTGGGTAAAGTTAATTTTAAAGGTGGTCGACTGGAGGGCAGTGATTCGCCAATTGTAGCTTCCACTTTATTCGTTTCTTTCAACGTTGTTTTGAACGGGTTATCGACCATTTTGTCGGCAACGTCGTAGTCCACGAAATCTTTATTTAACGGCTTCTTTTTTTTACGTTTACTCTCCCGCTCCGGTTTCGGAGGATTTAAAGATATTAAGTATCGTTCCGCGTGTCGAATCTCCTTACTGAAGTCTTTCAGTAATTTTTGACTATTTATAGTTTCCGGTATTTGACCCCGACTGATCATATTGTACTGAAACAGAAACGAAGACTGAGCTATCCATGACCTACGACCAACGATACGAAAAGCTCTGATCATGGAACAGACGAACTTACATCTTTATCTGTGTTCCATTGTTTGAGAATACTGAGTAACGCTTTAACGCCCTGTAAAAGATATGCTGGGCATTTCTTCCCCTCGTTATTTAATTCTTTCAATTCTTTCAACAATTTCTTTGCTGCGAACCAATTGATTGTCTCAAAACCCGGATACTGAAATTTGGCGGGAGTCTTCATTTTTCTTTCTAATTCGTATATTCTAGAAAATATTCCGATTAGTGATCGTTACAGTAATCATTGTAGCGATCGCGTGTTATGTACTTACTGTATTTGCATTGGAATGTTGAGACTATGTACAAAGTTTCCACCGAATACCAACGAATCGACCGGAGTCAGTACAGCATGTATCCACCCAGTTGGGATCATCATCGTCTGACCCTGTTTCAAAACGGATTTGTAACACGCGTCCGCCTGATCTCCGAAAAAGGTTTCGCTCTGAGTCGAACTGCACATCCAGTGCTGATACAATTGCAGATTCGCGGGAGTGGGCCTGATCAAGTAGAACACTTTTTCGCCGCGCAGTACGTGATACCACACGGATGTGCCACCAAAATCGATATGGAAATCTGTGAAACTGTCCCTGACCCCCATTAGGCAATATTTTTGTACTTCAGGACGTTTTATGTCACTATCCTCGGACCAATCGCGCGGCCAAACAGAATTAACCCAGTCGAGTTTACGCGCGATGTATGGTGCTTCGACCATTGGTGAGAGACTGCAACGTTTATTTGTCAATATATACATATATATATCCTAGAAACATTTAAAGCCAATATGTGGCAAGGCAATGAATATTGATATACCCAGTGTTTGAAAATTCAAGACTAATCACATTAAGAACCCTTGTCCTGCAAGGGGAGTTGTAATATTCAACAAAGTCTCTTAATTTCATTCTTATGTTACTTTGTCTCGTGACATCGATTACATCCATCTCTCGATCTCCGCCTGAATCAGACAATGTATTTGTACAATATAACTTTTTACCATATAGTAATAATAGCAGTATCTACATTAAATAATATGTACCTATGTAACTCTCCACGTCGTAAACACTGAAATTTGGAGGAGGCACAACCATATCCAAACCATCTTTTCCATCAATAATAACAGGATTTTCAAATCCATTTGTCTGTAAATATTGAAGAGTTAATTGCTGTCCTCGAACATGTTTCACAATTTCATCGGCTTTTGGAAAGTGCCTGGACTTCAACTCTCTTATGAATACTGGTGTTCCGGTCTGAACTGGTTTAGTATCTGCATCTGCTTCTGAGTAGTCGTGTCTGTGCCAATTTAATCTTACTTTCACTGAAAGACAACAGTCATTAAAGTAATTGCAATTTTGTAATTGTTACACAAAACTAATGAAACTTTGAAGTACTCACTAAGAGACGGCCCACACATGGCTTCGCAACGTGGACAATGATATTTGTCAAGATCTATGGACATGTACTCTTTTACAGACACACACCTAAAAGAAATCATAAAAGATATATTATTTTAATAGATAATAGTTAATAGATATAGATTCATATTGGACCACACGAATTATTTATACCGAATTGTATTAACATTCAAGCATTCAAACGTAAGTGTTGCTTCCTCTAAGAATAGGTTATGTTAATATCAACAAAACATTTTCTTTCCTTGTGTAAACTGTTCCATAATTATTATTTGTAAACAAGAAGGGGCGGAAAACTGGTTGCATGTACATGACTGATACGCTTAAAAGTTCCTCGCAAAACGAGTACAGAAAAATGTTTGTATACAATTTAGCGAGGCACAATTCAAGCATAGCGTTTGGAGCATCGTATCCAATTGATGAAATTTGAAATTCTTACCCCCCGTGGTACCACTCTTTACAGACGTCACATTGTATCATAAATTGTTCGGAGTCATAAGAACGTCCACACAAACAATACGTAACTGGTAACTCCATTTTTTGTGGTTATTAACGTTGAATACAATACCGTGACTCCGTGTCGTTAACATTGGATGGTAACTATAGTAGCCACGATACGTCGCTGAAGAGTCCCTCCATCGTCCGCTTTCCAAATTACGTATTAAGGCAGCATTTCCATCCTTCACATGCCACGCGTCTTGTTTCGATAGTAAACTGTAAAGTCTAACCACAATCATTCCGTTACATTTTGGGAACATAGCCTAATATTCGTTTACAGTACATTGGAGGTTAGCTCACGACAATGTGTACTTTGCATGCTAAATCTTTTTCAATTCATATCCACGGGTTTATATAATACAAATATGAAGTGGAAGCAAACGAAAAAGGCAAAAATAAAAGCCCGTAAAGTCCGCACAAAACAGACCAAAGCGTGAGTAAACATTGAGTATGCTTCGTAACAATGTTATCTGATAGTGACTGGACGCTGATATAATTTTATCACAATACGATCTTAATCTGCATACAATTTTTTATTCAGGGAACTGCCTCAGTATAAGAGAACGAATAAGGTTATTCGAGTGAAACGAAAGTCTAACCCTTCAACGATGGATTCACTTTGTCTGAAATCAAAAACTGGTCAATGCACATCATTCAATGCAAGTTCTTTGCAAAATGAACAGTTAGACTCTAAACATAATGTCAAGCAAAGAAAGAAAAAATCATATACTACTGCTAAGGGATCTAGTCGTAACCTGCCAAGTAAGAAACCTTCAAGATCACTCTGTACAATACTTCTGAACATTGTTGATTTTGTGTACCTGTATACCAGGATAAAAATCAAATGTCATTTGGAGGTTGAAGATAAAATATGGCATAATACATTCTAATATAGAACAACATTATCGAAAGAGGTTGCTTAAATTTCAGATTCTGTGGATGTTTCCCTAGAGTCAAAAGATGGCTCTACAAGTGCCAAGATAACCAGTGGTAAAAACACTAAGCAGCATCGTCGTATTTCAAATCAACAAAGAAACTTGGGTTCACCTGTAATAATCGAAGCCCTATCAAAAACGCTATCGTCACTGAGGATACCAGATATGCTTAGACAAAGTCCAAAATTAAAGCGTACAGATAATGCTTCTGATTGTATTCTACCATACACACAGAACAACAGTTCTAAAATGGATGATGCTTGTATTATCGTTGCTGAATCGGTAAATCCAAACAATACCTCTTGTACACCAGGAAATATTAGGATAGCGACGCCGTTGAAGAAGAATCGTAAACCACGAAAAGATAAAACACCGTTAAGGACCACGAATAACAATGAGAATGGCAGCACATGGGTTCCTAGCGAATCACCTACTACAATTGAGCAATGCCTTGAAAATGTTACACTTGATACGCATACTACAGACGTTACTATACCTGATACGGAAACTGAAATTTCTAATTTCCAACGAAACAGTACCGTAGATGATCAGAATTCGTTACGATTTTATTGTTTAAGAAATAAGGTTGTGGTCGTAATGCCGGAAAAAACACGATTCTGTTTCACTGGTAAAATACTGTTGAAGGTAATACACGGGGCGGTAGAGGTTTATGGATACCGTATTTCCACAAACACAAAACCCATCGAAATCTACTCTCCAAGAGGATATAGTAGCGTCTCGATCGAAACTAGTACCAAATTTTCACAAGACACCGAGCCAGACATTTGGGCGTCTCTATCCGTCGAAGGTATAAGCCGAGATTTTGAGAATAAACTGGTCGTTGACATCGACGGAATCCAAGACGGTACGGCAGTCATACTCTTGACAGATTTTAAAAACAATTTAACGAAGTTTTTAGACATCTATTATCCGTTCAGACTGTTTCCAAAAATAAAGAACGTACCATATCAGTCTTCGACCGATCCAAAGAGAGCGGAGGCGATTCTCCAGTCGCACCTTCACGTCGGTAATTATTCTTACAAACAGTTGGTCGTGGATGAACGGGTGACAAAAGAAATCAGCGAAACAATGTTGAACCGTTGGCACGCGAACGAATGGTCGTGCACTATAATCGCCGGTGGAAAAAATGTTGGGAAATCCACTGCGACGCGTTGCTTGATAAACAGTCTATTGCCTGTTAGTAAGAAAGTCGTCCTTGTGGATGTTGATCCTGGCCAAACTGAATGCACACCAGCTGGTTGCATATCGTACAGTTTAATAGAGGAGCCCTTGATGGGACCAAACTTTACGCATTTAAAGCCTCCGGTTTTCCAATTGTACATCGGTGACGTGAACGTGACACGGTGCATCACGCGATACATAGAGGGAATTAAAATGCTGGTCGATAAATTGATCAACTGTCCGACCTTGTCACGTTTACCAATCGTGGTGAACACTATGGGATTCACTAATGGCATTGGATGGGATATCGCGGTGTTTACTATAAAATTGATTCAACCTTCTCTGGTGGTACAAATTATGTCCGAGAAGTCCAAGAACAACTACCCTGAATACTTGAGCAAAGAAGTAATAAACAAACAGGTAAATTGCGGCTGTTTCTTGTTCCATTAAAGTTCTGTGAAATTATGATCGGTAGAAGAAATGTTCTACTCGTAGGAGCCTACATGGGCCGCGTGGAGTGTGAACGTTGTCAACAGGTGTCGACCATGTAATCACGAATTATGCGTGACACATTCACACGCTGAACGGAAAAGCGCTCCCGCGAACGAAACTTGGAATATGGAGCCGTATCAGCAACGAGAGCTCGTCTTGATCTCTTATCTCAGCGAGATCGTGCAGAATCCTGAAAATTCTACGTAAGACGATTACATTATCTTGAACGATTTAATTATAATTTACTGTTCTATTTGTAACCTGTCAGAAATTATTTTTGTAGCTCTTGTTACGACGCCTTATCGTTCAGCATGAACGACGCTGTGCCGTATGTGTTAGTATTCTTTCTTTTCGGTAATCGATTTAAACGGTATCACTAAATTCAAATTACAACATGTTTCGACGTTGTTGATTGTAGAACGTCCTGTGCCTCGTTAACTATTTCGATTCCTCGAGCATCTGTATCGCCATCGCATGGTTTAAATGTGCTGAATGGTAACATAGTTGCTTTGTGTGGAATCGACGTGGAAGACGCAGCATCGAACAAAACTAATACCGCCTATGGTCCTCGAGTATTGAACAGATTGCCACTTTGTTCTTGTTACGGTTTCGGTGAGCATCTTATCGCGTCACATGCTTTCGTTTCTATAAATAACAACTTGAAATTATCGCTGAACATATTTGCGTAGGAATTGTCCGGGCAGTTGACGCCGAACAAGAAGAAATATACATAAATACACCGTTATCGGCATCCATGATGCAACATGTAAATTGTTTGGTGGGATGCATACCGGTGCCTGTGACGTTGTTGCAATTGAACCAACAGAGAAACGTACCTTACACTGGTGGCAGCGACGTTTTGCCAACGAGCCGGGAACATCGTAGAGGATACTTCCGTACGAGATACCAAAAAACGCAAGCTAACAATTCGTAACGACACCTCGAAACACTTCGTATCGCTGGGAGCAGAGTTGTACATACCAACAACACTTGTTTCTATTTCTCAAGAATAAACGTTTTTAATGACATTTTACTTTATTATTGTTCCCATATTTAACAGCAAATAAGAGTGCACAAAATATATGATAGATATTTTCGACATGTCTGTAAAATATTGTTCGCAGCCAGTAAACGGCGAAGAAAAAGGATGTGTTAGAAAAATCCCAATCGACAAGTACGGGGACAAATAGAACGACATAAATCACTCGTTGTCTTGATTGTAATAAAATAAAAAATAATCGTTAAAAATTATTAAAAACAAAAAAAAAATAAAACGTTAAACATAATCGTCTCACTATGCTCTCTTCTCGGACTAGACAGAGATCATCCATTTAACGTGGACGCGCTCTTACGATTTCGCGACCCCGAGGGGAGTCTAGCCGTGGATGTTCGAGGACGCAGTGAACTGCGTCCCGACGGTGATATTGCACTCGAAGTAGGGGCAAAGGGATCTCAAAATGGCGATGAGTGTCTGCACGCTCCATGATTTGCCTATTAATCGTTGCCGCTTCGTTGCCGATAAATTCTTCACGTCCGTGTAATGACGGGGGAATCCAAATATCTCCTCGAGCTCGGTGATCCACAGCGAGTCGCTCTCGTCTTTCATCAGGATCGGTTTCAGAGCCAATTTACCTGAGGAGTCGTGAGAGATATCCGATCTTGGTAATTAAATCGTAGCTTTAACAGGTTAAGAGTGTAGACCGAAAGAGCACGTCGGCCGATACCCTTACCTTGCTTCAGTGAATTCACTTTGGTGGTGACGGTACGAATTTTCTTGACGAGCGCGTATCGATGGCAGTGCGGAGTGAGAATATCCTGCACGTCTTGCTCGCCTTGGAACGGCAACGAGTGCGGTTCTATCGGCAAATTGTGCCAGTACAGCCTCAATCGGTGCTGGGGGGAGAAGTCCGCCGAGTCTATCACGTCGGGTTCCTGACCCAGGTGTCTGTAACGGGGGGTGGGGGTGGTTAGCTGGTGCTCTTAAATTGAAATCAATTTTGGAGGGTGTCCTCTCGAGGCTCACTTGTTAATTTCCAATCTATACTCGGTTGGCATCGAGGCGACGTTCTCGTACATCCAGAACATATGGCGCCTGTTGTTCAGTTTCTTCACCAGCTTCATGATTCGGCAGTACTCGAAAAACAGGACTCCTGTTCCCTTTGGATCTGAGACGGAAGAAAGGAAGATGTGTATACGTCAGAATTTTCGACACAGTCACTGACCCTGATAACCAGTTGTGTACAATTTTCGAGCAAATTGCCAGCAATAAATGACAAAAGTTGTCTAAACAAACCATAGCCATCTGTTTCCGCATTTGACTTGGGTTTTGCAGCCAACGCCAACTGCCGAAATGTTAAAGCAAATTGGCAGAAAATCTTGTAATATGATCTATGTCAAATTGAGGGCAATACCCGCAACAAGGTTTGTGAAAGCCAATTTGGTGCGTATGTTGCTGCCAATTTGCACGGAAGTTGTTTATAGCAGACCCTGCATCAAACCTGTGGCAATTCTGGTTACAAAATACTTATAACAGGCATTGGACAAAATCTGGTTGTGCGAGTTTGGCTGACTGGGTGGTAACAATTGTGACACCCAACTTGGAACGTATCTCCCATATTAGTATAGGAAACGTATTTTTTTTTGCACGGTTCCTTTTACACGATTTTTTGAGGAACGTATCTTCCGTGTAAAAATAGAATTGTGTATGTGGGACACTTATCAAATATGCAGTAAATTTTACAAGGCAGTACTAAATTGCTGAAAATTTAAACTAAATTGTACTCTTTGGGGGATATTAACCCCTTGCCTTACAACATCGAGTCGGACACGTGACAACGATTTCAAACTGACTTAGTAAAGATGTATATTATTCGTTTTCTTCGAGTCGATGTACAATACTGTTTCGCTGGTCGTAACATTTCAGATAAATGTAACACTTGCCATAAGAATAAAATTCCTATTTGTATCCGGGAAAATATTAACCAAAAAGTAATTCTTGAGAATGAAGTCGTAAACGAAATCGTATGGCAAGGGGTTGAAGTCTCTCTGGTTACATTAACATACCGTAGAGGCCCAGTCGCGCTGGATTGGCCAAGCTCAGGTCGTTGCACGGTGATCCGCCGATCAACAGATCGATCGGAGCGATCTCCTTGATCTTCTCTTTGGTTATATCACGTACGTCCCCTAAATGGACGACACGGTCGCCGAAATGCGAGACGCTGACCATCAACGCGTCCGGGTCGATCTCGCTCGCGTAATAAACGTCCACGGCTAAGCCCAGCTTGAGGAGGACCAGCAAGCCTGAAATCGCGTAAGGGGGCGAGAATCTTTTTCGGGCGGAAAAATCGATGGGTACCATCCCGTAAAGGAGGAGAGAAAGAAGATGAATTCCCACCTACCGGTGCTTAGACCGTCGAACAGAGACAGAACACGGATCCGTCGTCTTTTGTCCGTGTGCTGGGCGACATGCACGCTCGGGTTGGAATTCGTCCGGAACATATCGATTATTTTGTCCTTCCAGTTCGATCGCGGCCTCATGATCGTGTCGGACACCGTGCCGGACCTGGTTTTACAGAGGAAGCACGACCAGGGATCTTCCTGCAGCACTTGCTCGTAGGTTGTGGTGCAGAGCAAATGTTTCATGCAGGCGGTGCAATAAACCCTGGAAAACGAACGATCCACGAATATCCTGTATTCCACCGAATGGGAGGGTTTCCCCTTTACCATCGATTAACCACCTGGCGAATTTACCTTGGACAGTCCTCGTTGTCGCAAATAATCATCGTCCCGGTCGCCGCGCAAATCGTGCAATAGAACTAAGCAAACGGGGTCGACATTGACTATATATCACTTCGATAAGGAAAAAAGGAAAAACGATTTAGATCGAACGGATAGTACTTACGCATTTTGCGTCGTTCCCGAACACGAACATGCAGGGCTTGTATTCTTCCTGAAACAACCGTGATGTATAGTAAGACTGATCGTTGGTATTGCTGTTACAGTAATCGAACAGCGAGTATACAATCGCTCATTTTGTTGCAACAGTGATATAATTCGCAGGTTGCAGCTTTTTAATTATTAGTAGACTGTAGAACACTATACAAAATAACATTTTCCGAAGTGATTTGTAAAGACAAACGTGAAGACTGAATTTTCTTCCATTTCTTAAGGATTTTATTATAAGAATAAGACAGAAAGTGTACTAGATTTGATGTTAGCTTTACCATTTGACATATTTCAAGTGATAGCACATATTATAAATGCATATAATCCGCAGTCTAATTATTAGTATAGAAAAAGAAACGGTACTTGTCTGTACTTTTTGTGGATTGAATCCTGCAAGTGAACTTCCGAAAACTGACTACACAAGACAGTTACTTTAATATGATATTCGTACGAAATCATAACGATTAAAACATTTAAACTCGTCTACTCTAAAATCGTGATTATCGAGTTATATCGTTCTTCAAAAATCCTGCTTCAACGATACGAAACGTTGTTGCGCTCGCGCGAATAGAAGCGTAAGTGATTCAAACGATTCGAGTGGATTGCTCGAATAATTGTCTTTTTTGACGAGTCGAGGAGCTCGCGGTTATTGATAATTTCCATACCGAACACTCGACGCACAGAGAACCCTCGAAGAACGGATGAGCCTCCATCGGTCCGTCAGAATTCTTCAGACACTTCAGGCACAACGATTCCAGCGAAGTTTTCCCGGTTGTCACCGAACGCAAATCATCTGGATCGAAACAAATTTTTCCTTCAAATTGCATTCATCGAATCGATAGAAGAGCGATGTCGTTTTTAAACAGTGCTAATGGAGAAAAGTCTCAAGTGACCAATTTGCGTCCTTTTATAATAAGCTAACTTGGATTAAAACTTTAACAAGATTTTTATGATTGCCTGTCAATAGTCTGTAAAGTGTTAAGATATATACTATATTACAGTGTCAAGTCGTTTATACATTGGCGTAGCCAGGGATCATGGAGGGGCACCTGCTCCCCTCCCGCAAAGGAAAAAAAATGGCTTTTGTCCTACCCTGGAGGAAAAAATTGGATTTCCCTCCCCTCCTTTCCCCCAGAAAAAATATTATATTGTATGAACTAACATTTTGTATGTAAAAGTAAATCTACAATTCATTGAAAGTAATATGAAATTTTCCTTGAGATAAATTTTACTCCCACTCCTCTCCCCCTCCGAAGGAAAAAAATATTCTATTACATGAACTAATATTTTGTACGTAAAAATAAATTTTAAATCTAGTTAAAGTAATATTATGAAAGTTGCTTTGAGATAAATTTTGCCTCACCCTCCCCAACTGATAACGCGGCTACACCCATTCATTTATACAAACTTAGAACGACTGATGTGCAGGTATCGCAGTATCGAAAGGCGACATTTAACCCCTTGCCTCATGATTTTCTTGACGTCCGTAATGCAATCTCTCGGATTACATTGTTATCGATAGTTTTCCAAGAAAGGAAAGGAATTCTGTACTTATCGCAACTGTACTTTTACTGTAAAAGTTAAATATTAATTCCAGCAACGTGGTACTTCACTTCGACTCAAAGAAAACCGAATAATATTCTTCTTTGGGAAGACAATCTGACTCGATGTTATTGGGCAAGGGGTTAAAGTAACACTAGTATTGTTCTTCTTTTTCGAACGCACCGCTATTCCTTATGTCGTCCGCCCGTTTGTTGTCTACGTTCGAGTTGTTCTTCAGCTCGTTCAGCTTTTCGACGATGTGCGTCGAGTATTTGTCGTATATCTTTACCGATTCCCCGCCTTTTTTCAGCGAATTCTGCCTGGTTTGCGGCTGACTCATTTTCGAGAAATATTTGAACACGTTCGCCAACGTCCAATTATCGGTTTCGCATCCCATACGAAAGCAATAATCCTGAAAAAAGCGAGAAACAACGCTCGAAAATGGAGACACCAAGGTTCATTGAAAAATTTCGTTCCTCTGTATATACAGGGTGTCCCATCTAACGTGAGCACCTTTAATATCTCACTTGTTTCTGAAGATAGACAAAAAGTGTGAGAGCAAAATATTATTTGGTTGGAAGGGGAAAGTACTGCAATAAGTAAAACACTTTTCTCAAGGATATATTTTTTGAAATTTCAAAATCAACGATGTTCTTTTTAAAGGGGACTACATATTTTTATTATCGTAATGTAATATTCGAGGTCAAGACCAATCCAGTGACCTATAATGCACTAATTCCTGTATCGAAGTTATTTTATTATTTAAATCTACTCCCATACATTTCTGGATTTTTCAAATTAAAGATCACACAAAGGTTACACTAGTATAAGTTATTAGATTGGCTTTGCTCTCAAGTATAACGCCATGATGATAAAAATATGTAGTCCCATTTAAGAAAACATTGATAACCTTGAAATTTCGAAAAATATGACCTTGAGAAAATTTCGTTGCTTATCACAGCATTTGCTCCTTCTAATCAAATAATATTTTCTTCTCACATTCGTTTTCTATCATCAATCATAAGTGAGATATTTAATATTATATCAAATATATAATATTATTTCGTTTTCAAAGTGTACCTTCGAAGCTTGCAGAACGCCGACGAGGAACGTGTGCTTCTTGGTGTTGTTTATGTAGTCCCGCATTTTTTCGACACCCTTGTCGAATCTCAAAAACGACTGATGATGGATCTGTTCTCCGTGGATCGGATCGGCCAGACACGCATGCAACGACACGAAGTATTATATATATACAGGGTGTAACAAAAATGTTGGAGGACCTGAAAATGGGAGACTCGTGAGGTGATTTGAAACAAATTTTTCCTTAGCAAAAATTTTATCCGAGGCTTTGTTAACGAGATATTAACGAAAAACCCCGACCAATCAGAACGCGAGTGTGTCGGCCGAATTCACGCGGTGCGATTGGTAGTCAACGTTACCAGAGACGCGCGCTCTGATTGGTTCGGGGTTTTTTGTTAATATCTCGTTAATGAAGTCTCGGATAACATTTTTGCTAAGGAAAAACTTGTTTCAAATCACCTCACGAGTCTTCCATATTCGGGTCCTCCAACATTTTTGTTACGCCCTGTATTTACCAGGTTGTATAGATTAATACAATCGTTCACGAAAACTTTTCGTGAATTCGTATTTGCGCGACGAGTCCGTGAATTAACGATCGAGAATTTTACCTCTGAAAGCTTGTAGTCGCCGTACCACATGATCCATTGGCAACCGAAGCTCGGCTCACGCATGCAACAGTCCCGGTAATCGATAATCATCGCTGCGATATGCAGACAGACAAAAGGTACTTTACAGTTGTGTGTTCGGCGCGAGGTAATGGTGAACTGGAAAAATTCTCACGACACAAAGTTGTAACCTAGAGATGGGCCAATTCATTATCTAGCACTGGAACTACTAGTATTGAATGTATGCTAAGTTAAAGTGTATAATATATTAATACTTGTAATATATAATGCAATATAGATTAGTATATTACAATATACAGTGTATAAGAAATTTGAGGTTAACATAAATTCCGATAAAAGTTTGTTTAGGATTTCAATAATTGTAAAATAACAAACCGTCATTTTGACTGGTTCGGTAGTTCTAGTGCTAGATCGGGGGTCGGCAAACTTTTTTTGTAAAGGGCCAAACAGTAAATATTTTGGCCACTAAAAGAGTGTTATAGCTAAGCACCCGTTATAACGCGTACATTGAAATTTAAAAAAATTTGAAACTGTAAAATCTATTTTTAGCTCGCGGGCAATACCTCGGATCTAGACGAAGAATTTCAAATAACGAAAAAAAGATAAAAACAAGTGGGGGAATAATACCGGTATTTTATATTTCGGTAAAAGTCCCTGATTAGTAGATTGCGGATTTTTATGTAAAATGAAATTTTCTAAAGTAATTCGTAAAGACAAGTGCAAATATTGGAATTTCTTTCTTCCCTTAAGTATTTCATTAGACTCAAAATAAAATATAAAACCCGTTACATCTGCTGACAGTTTTGTCTTGTATTATATTTCTCAGAGGTCTGTAAGCGATAAATGCATATAAATCCGCAGTCTACTGATTCGAAATAGGGACGTTGACCTTACTGTATTCAATTTCTCGACGAACAGTCCACAGGGACAGGAATCGAAAAAAAAAAAAAATCACGTCCAACGAAAAGATTTACCTGGCCACCAATTGTGCCCGGCGATTTTCGCCCACGTGATCACACCGGGATTCTGTTCCCCGAGCGGCAAACGCGTTAAATCCACGTTGTTGCTCTGTTGCGGCGACTCTTTCGGTTTTTCGGGCAGCTTTTTCGGCTGACTTTCACCTGTCGGACAAAACGGGGGCGGGGACGGGGGGGAGAGGGATCGATCAATGGGCTGAAAGAAACGATCGAGAATTGCGGCGTTAAGCAACCAGAATAGGAAAATAAAAACGAGCCCGCCGTACGCTTCTGATCCAGCAGATATTTCTCGGTGACTCTGGCGTTCCTCTCCTTCAGGCTGGCCAGCCTCTGTTGCACCTTGGCTGGATACGGATAGAACTTCAGTTCGTCGATCACTGAACCATAGAAAAGAAAAAAGGAAAACACGGATCGATCGTTAGATCTTGTGGTAACGCGAACAACGAGGTGGTCGTAGGTTCTCTCGTTCGACTTACTCTCCGTCACTTACTCTCCGAGAAGTTGTTCTCGATCCATCGGGAGTAAGGCTTCGTCAACGCGCAGCCCAACTGCCTGTGCAGCATCTGAAACGAATAGAACGTTGTGGTTCATGAAAATTTTTATCCCCCCTAAGCGAACGAAAGGAGAAGGATCAGTGTTGAACGGATATCAAAAAGTTCACGGAATTAGACTACCATTTTGTTTTACGAAGCGACAGCCCGAAGACGACGAATTTTTCGGAGTAAAGTGAAAGTGTTTTACAAACTCCTCTCGATTATTGTCCAGGCATTATCCCCACCACTGGGGGGGGGGAGGCGTGGAATCTGTCAAGTGCATAATTTATTGCTTCTCCACTTCTGTTGAGGAGGCTCGGGTTTTGGCCAAAATAAATCCACGAGGGTCTGAAGCATTTCTTTTTATACTAATATTGTCCCAGCGCAGACCCGAGTTCAGGACAATAATCGAGAAGAGTCTGTACATTCGAAAAAGGGACGTACAGCATGCAAAGTGCACTGACAACGAAAAATCATACAGAGAAAAATAAATCCTCTTCTGATTCATAATTTGCCTTTCATGAAAATTTTCCACAAACTTTTTGATATCCCCACGTAGGAAAAGAAAAATTCTCAAGCGAAACCTGCATAGTAGCGTCGATGGCTCGACTCAGCGCCACGTTCGAGGTCTGGTCCAGTCTAGGCGTCAGATTGGACCTGAACGATTCGATCTGAGTTTTCTCGTTCAGCTGAAAGCACGTTGATAATCACCGTCAATTAACGTGGTTACGCGTCTCGACCAATTAGAATCTTGCATAAAAACAATAATAATAATATATAAATAAAAAAAAAGTCATATTCACTAATGATATACGAGCTTCTCCGATCCAGTAAACCCACAATTTTCCTGCCTCGGACAACATTCCTACATGGTCTGCGTCGATAATTAACGCTGTAATATTATATAGAAATGTTTATTCAAGGTGCACGCCTGTCAGTCTCGTACGCGCTGTATAGTCGGCACTGGCGTGCATGAAAACCGGGACGTAATTTTGATGTCGAAATCATTACCCGAAACGGCTTGCTTTTACGCGTGGTCATGTGTATGTGTGTGTGTTAACGTTTTCCTCGAAAAAGAGGATGATCGCGGTGTAATCTATTTTTTTCTCGCAGAAAACTGACGAATGGAATAAATTACGGGGTCACATATGCCTTTGACAGGTCGGAAAATAGGGTTATTTTTATAAATTAAGCTATACAGTAAATCCTCGACGAGTGTTCCAAGGCTCCTCGGCACCAAACATTAAATATTTCATAAACTAATGGTTATATACGGTTGAAACAAATGTCATTGGCTTCAAAATTCCAAGATACAGTAAATCCTCGATCAGTGTTCGAAGGCTCCTCGGCACTGAACATTAAATATTTCATAAACTAATGGTCATATACGGTTGAAACAAATGTCATTGGCTTCAAAATTCCAAGATACAGTAAATCCTCGATCAGTGTTCGAAGGCTCCTCGGCACTGAACATTAAATATTTCATAAACTAATGGCCATATGCGGCTGAAACAAATATCATTGGTTTCAGAATTCTCAGCTCTATCACTGTGCTAAACCTTATTAAAAAGTCAGCGTTATACCTGAGGACTTCCCCATGTCAAGGAGTCTTCGAACACTCATCGAGGACTTACTGTATATCACCGTACTTAAACCAACGACGCAGCAGGGTTAAACTTAAACGAAATCGTCTGCCAGGACCCTTACCTGGCCACCATCCGGAGCAACATCCCCAGACCAGCTTCCCGACGAAATTCTCTTTAGTGATTTTCGTCGATCCCCGCGTCACACGTCGAATATCATGATACTCGTCCTCGTTTCGGAACATTCTCGCTCGAAGCATAACAGCGGTCTTCACCGTGTCCTTGAGAGAACCTCCGATACCGTTCCCATTCGGAGTTATCTTGCTCCTTTTCATACCCAACGCCCGTTTCTTCTCCATCCTCCCGATACCACCCGCTGCCGATCTCGATCGAGAATCATTATCATTGTCCACGACAACGCTCCTTTCGTTCCTCCCGGAACCACCACTGTTCCGGCTCGATCTGCCTCGTCTACGAGGCTTGTCGACGCTGGAACGTTTCAAATCCTCCGCGGAATCGACGTCCGTTGTCCCGCGAGCATCCGTCGAAATTGTACAAGAATCGCTGCTGGACCTGCCAGGATACTTGCGACGACATCTTGTGTCGACGGTTGAATAATTCTCGTCGTCCTCGGTCGAACATTTGCTTCTATTAGGGATTCTCTCGGCCAGGGGCTGGGTATCGATGTCGTCCAGCCAGGTCCTTTCGTCGAACCCGAAGAACGATCCTTGTGGGCTAGGGGGACTCGATGGAGAGACGTCCATTGGTTCCATCGTGGGCTCTTCGAACAGTAGAATATCATTCGGTAGCTCTTCAATGGACGTAGACAGGAGTTGTTCGTTATTCTCCTGGATTGTCGAATCCTGAGGATCGTCCAGGACATCTATAGACGAAGTGTCTTCTTGCAAATAGTTTGGCGGTGGACTCTGATAGAAGTTATCGTCATCCCATTGATAGTCCACAGTGGCGTCCCCATAGGTGGTTTCCTCCTTTCGTTGACTTGAATCGAAGGAATCGTGTCTTTTTGGGAGAACCTCCTTGGATAGGACGTTATCGATGATTTTCCTGGGCGCCTTGCGCTTGGTCCTTCTCCTCCTGCGACCCCTCGTGATCAGTTTCCCCGCGTTTTTACGGCGCAACTGGTGATCTAGGTGCGTGTTTCCTTGGGTATTCGTGGTTTGGAGAACGTTCGAGGTTATTTTCTCGTCCGTCTGCTTAGGACTTGGGAAATCTTGGGTGCAGATTCCAGACGCTAGGTCGACGCTCGGAGGTTTGTCGCCGAAGAGATCCTTATCGAAGTGATCCTGGGAATCTCGATCCGTCTGTTTTCTCGGTCTGCCAGGTTTCCTTTTGCACGATTTCCAAAAATCCTCCACGGTGGAATTTCTCGCACGATCCAGTTCTCGAACCCTCCAGTCTCCGTATACGTTTCTTTTCTCTGTCGTTGATTTGACAGTCGCGCCTCTCCTACCCACGCTGGCCAACTTTCCCGTGGGTTTCTTCAACGGCTGCGAGCAGATCCTCAAACGCAATGAAGGTTTTCGCGTGGAGCGTTTCGCGACCTCGTGCGATGAGGTTATCGGAGGGAACTCTTTGGGGATCGCTATGTTCGTTTGCATCGTTAGTGGCTCGTCACTTCTGAGCGTGGCGAACGAGACGCTCGTCAGACAAGGCTCCGATATCAAACCCAATTCCATCGCGCATACCATGGACCAGACGCTCCCCTCCGCCCAGGACTGCACCGAATTCCTTTCGCCTGGGCTGCTCTTTTCGGCCATCTGAAAAACGGGTAAACAATCGTGTTATTTGGTTATGATTGATTATTTAATTATGAAACGTGGAGGTGACTAGGGCTGTTAGTCTACAGGGTAAACCACGAATCGTGATCAGTAGAGATTACTTTGTTATTAGCAGTCCGATCGAAAATGTTTTTATCAGGTATAGCATGGTTTCAAGAGAACTTTCACGTGATTATAGCAAATTTTTTGACAACTCTTGTTTTTCATGATTTTTAAAGGTCACCTTCAATTTTCTTTCAAAAATGCAATCAAAAAAAGAAGTCTTGATAAGAGTAAAAAAATTATAGGTGTATTTGCAAAAAATTGAAGGTGACCTTGAAAAATCATGAAAAAAAAAAAGAGTTGACAACAAATTCTAGGGGTGGTTTCACCCCTTAATGTTGCGTCTCAGCCGATAAAAAAAAATACGTATTCCTTATTTTTGACTGCTTAACAGACATACGAAGTTTCATCAAAATCGGAGGGTGACACTTCCGTGTCTTTCCCTGTTACTCTTGGGAATTACTAAAAATGCCAAATCAGCATTCGTTTTAAAATTTCTTCCAGTATCCTTAAAATACATTTACCAAGTGATACGAGGCTTTCCCCCATACACCACTTTTTCCCCCATCGAACAATGAGTTTCCTCATGAAAGTACAATCAATCTGACCCCAGGCACTGAGGCTTCCCACGACCAAGATTCACCAGACGTAAAATCTGTTAAGAACCTCGATAGGATGCAGCAAATGGGGATGTTGTGTTGCTCTGTTGGTAGCAGAAGACTTGAAATCGCTTTTTAAACAGTGCCAGGGGTCGGGGATAGCAAAAAACAGAGGGGTGGAGGGGTACGGGGCAAAGAGGGTTGTAGAGAGAGAGAGAGAGGGGTGCGGAATCCCACGTGGCGGCGCCTCGAAAGGCATTTCTCGAGGTCGCGGCGTGCTTTGCCCGGGGTCGACCTGATGAATGGAAACGTCGGTATTATTGTGTTTACACGCGGGACACACAGGGGCCTCTCTCTCTCGCTTTCTCGCCACACTTGGCGTGGAAACATTCATTCATAAAGCGTTCCGCGCGCGTTCCTCTCACCACCGCTGCTGTCCCTCCTCCCTTGCCCCTACCTAGGCTCTAACCCACCCCTCCGCGGCTTCGCTCGACTCGCCTATAGTTCCCCCTCGCTCCTCTCGCCCCGCAGAACGTTCGTTATGGCCCTCTACACGAGGGTACATAACCCTCTGCCGAGTGTGTAGAGGGGTAGTAGCGGTGACGTAGCCAGAATTACGACAACGACCTGCTGATTCGGTTTATTTCATCCTCCTCCCGGAGCCGTGTCCAGTTTTAGTCGGGTGACGTGAACGCCACTGCCATCGGTTATTTCTCGATCCTTTCAATGGGATCCGACACCTCACCTTAACCCTCGAAAGGCGAATGATCTGGGAGGGACACTGCAGACGAATACATGGTCATTTTCAGCTGTCGTAAAATTTCTCTTGGGCACAGGTTTTAAGAAATTATAAAACAAATTTTGTGTATAGTTTTAAGTTCATATTTTGTAGTTATATGTAATTACAAAGAATACGGTAAGAGCTTCAGATGGGTCAAAATGAACCTTAATTCGATGTACGAGGGTTAAATAGACCACAGACAATACGATTTATCGTATGGATTATTAGTTGTAGAATGTTTGCTACTTTGATTGTTTGAAAGACAGTTGCAACTTTTGTGGCACGGTTGTACAAGGTAGGAAAAAATTAATGGTCATAGCTTCTGAGGGGTGAATCTGCATTAATAATTTTTACATACTGTACGGCAGTTTGTGGAAAATCGGTCGATCTATGTTTGCATAACTCTTTTTTCCTTGGAAATTATTTTTAATTAGTTTTGTAGATAGATACAACTTCGATAACTACGAATTTCTTTCTACTTTTCGTTTGTCCTCTAAAGTTCTATATACTTGTATATTATACTAAATGGTTCATGTACCGTTTATAAATAAAATATTATTACATTACGTCCTTCAAATGATCACCATTTTGTTCTTGACAGTGGCGAGCTCTTTCCAAAAAATTATTCTTTATTATACTTTAAAATGGTCTAGTGACTTTTGGGCCACCCTGTATATGTGGTCCCCAAAATCTTTCAAGTGCTTAGGGCCTCTAAAGATCTTAAATCAGTCCTAGAAAAATTGCATCGTTCGTGGAACCCGTTTTAACCGACTTCCCAATGGAAAAACATCCCTTCTTCTGTCGACTATAAAATAGTTTTCTGTGCCACGAACGACCGAATTGCACGGCTCCAGAACACGCCTTATCCGAACGCAACGAATGCCTCGACGCGATCTGCCCGTGCGTCTGCGGCTAGCCCCAGCAATCCCAAAACTGTCGCGCGTACACCAGCCGCGTTGTAGGTCAGGTCGCGATCGATCGATCCCCATGGACGCGGGGAAATCGGAATGGTGGAAGACTATGAAACAGCGTGTGACCCGGTGTACGGTTTGGCGCCTACGAATGCGTATACAGGGTGTCCCAAAATAGCTTCGACTCCGGAAAACGATGGGTTCCTGGGATGATTTGAAATAACTTTTTCCTTAGCAAAAATATTATCCGAGGCTTCGTTACCGAGATATTAACGAAAAACACCGACCAATCAGAGCGCGCGTCTGTGGTAACGTTGGCTACGCGCTGCGATTGGTAGCCAACGTTACCACAGACGCGCGCTCTGATTGGTTCGGGGTTTTTCGTTAATATTTCGTTAACGAAGCCTCGGATAACATTTTTGCTAAGGAAAAATTTGTTTCAAATCACCTCACGAATCTTCCATTTCCTTCAACATTTTTGTTACACCCTGTAGAGATCTACTCCAAGGACCTATACGGGTCGTCTGCGAACTTGATCGAATCGTTAGCGACTCTCGGAGTTGGAAATTTCGGCGATGCGTGTGAATACGCTCCGATGCGCGTCGTGTCCATCGACAGAAGCATCCCCAGCCGTGCAACGGGTAACGCGTCACGGTAATTTATAACGGACGGCTGTCCCAGCGCCGCCGTTGCCTACTTCCAGCGGGAAAGGGCGTTAACCGCGACTGGGGAGACCTCCGCGTGCGGCGAAGGGAAATCCCCTTTTTTCCCTCTTCCTGTGCTATCTCGTAGCCGGTTTTAACCCTCTATAATCCAAACTGATGTTTATCGTTCGAAATAATTTTCTAGCTGTATATACCGTTTACCATTGGCCAGTTGAACACGTGGAACTTAAATGTTTAATTTCGAAGGTTTTTAACACGTTGAGTGCCGCAGTGAAAAAGGTCGTGCGTAGTCAGACACATTTTATTTCGTACTTTAGGATATAGACTACAAATTTTATTTTTTTTTTTTTTTTGTAATGTGCAAAGCACAATACACCAACAATTTTCGTGAAGATTGGTGTCAATATTCCTTTACGTTGGATATAAAAAGATTTTTAATAATGGAAAAAAATCTCTGATATAATTTCAGTTCGGTAGATTAAGCCATAAAAATTTGATTTTGCACAAAGATTTGCAGTATAGTCATCAATTGTCGAAAATATATGCGTTTAGTTAATAGAAATTGTTGATCTTATTTGGAGATTATACTGCGATATTAATTTCACGCCAAAATTTTTTAACGGTACTTAAAGAATCCAGCCCCTCTTTAGAATGTACCTATACGTGTCACCTGTATTTGGATGACGTGGCAGTAAAAAGTGTTAAATAGGTTCTTATCTTTAAGGTCATACCGAATAGCAGTGAATCAGCAAATCACCAGCCATATTACAATATTCAAATTATATTGGTCGACTATGAAAAATAAATATTCTCATTTGCTTAACGGTAGACCCACCGACGATAAACGCATATCTATTTCGATCGGTCGATAAACATGACAAACTTACAATAACTTACAAATTTATTAACTAATTCTAAAAGGTCTAAAAAAATGTATTGCTATAACATTTTAATCGTCGTTATGAGAGTATACTGCAGTAAGATCATTTCGACTTACAGTAATGTCTCGATGAGTGCGATTTACTCGGTCCGTATTCATGGCAAGGCGGAAAAGTTTTCAGCCCCACGTAAATTTCTTTTTTTTTTTGCACGAAGTTGAGCGTCTGCTTAGTTTCTGTTTACCCTGTTTTAATTAGTTCCACAAGGGGAGCACCCCAATGGTGGTAAAAACGCAGTTGTTCGTGTCGCATTCATCGAGAGATCACCGTATAATAAATCCTCGATGAGTGTTCGAAGACTCCTTGACATGGAGAAGTCCCCAGGTGTAACGTTGACTTTTTAATAAAGTTTAGCACAGTGATAAAGCTTGGAATTCTAAAGCCAATAATATTTGTTCCAGTCGCATATAGCAATTAGTTTATGAAATATTTAATGTTCAGTCTTGAGGAGCCTTCAAACAATCATCCAGGGATCACCGTATTTGGTAGTTCTACTGTTAATAATGGTAAAACTGGAATACAAATGTCAAAGTTACTGACCAGTAAAAGGTTCAAAGTGATGGACGCGCAAGTTTTCAACCTCCCAGCGGCGTATCGACGATTTCTGCGCGCATTCGTACTATGACTCGCGCGATTAGACACTCGAAAGCTCGCTCGGCTGTCAATTAACGGCGTTCGACTAAATAACACGGAATCACTCTCGCGGCTGGTTGTTGACCATTCATCCCGTACGCAGATAACGATGTAAACACGTATTAATAAGCGTCTTGAAAGACACTCGAAAACACCGAGGTCGATTGCACGCGATCGCTCGTAGCCTTTAACCACAGGAGTTCTGCGATTCTTGCGTGACTCACTATACAGGGTGTCTCAACTAACTAGATCACTTCGAATAATGACTCAACGGTTCATTTTATGAAAATTTCGAGGCGTGGAACTTAAATAGCATCAAGGGGAACATCTTTTAAGGTACGTGTTTTTTTTTTTCATCTTTTATTCGTTATTCGAAATTTTTTATCTGGATAACGAATTTTCCCATCTCT